GGGTTCCAGACAGGCTGACGTCAAGTAGTTTGCTGAATCATGATGATGATAGTTCCTATTGTAACTAACAGTATCTAGTTCTATGCCTGGATGGGTTAGGGTTAGGATCAGGCACGGTTCTGGATAGTCTCTATTGTATCCAGAACTGTGCCTATCTGGTTCTATGCCTGAATGGGTTAGGGTTAGGATCATGTACGGTTCTGGATAGTCTCTATTGTATCCAGAACTGTGCCTATCTGGTTCTATGCCTGAATGGGTTAGGGTTAGGATCAGGCACGGTTCTGGATCATCGATTGCATCCAGAACCAAGCCTATCTGGTTAGGTTAGGGTTTGATAGAACCAGGCACGGTTCTGAATATACTAGTAGTCTCTATTGTATCAAGAACCGTGCCTATCTATAGTTCTATGCCTGAATGGGTTAGGTTAGGATATATATATAGGACACGGCTCTGTGTAGTCTCCGTGTAACAAGGACTAGGTCTAGGTGAATTAAAGTTGATAAAGAAACAAAAAAGAATATCAGGCATTATATTATGGCTCACAGTGGTCTGGGTTGTGTCAGTGTGGACATGTAGGGATACAGACAGGCTGACGTCAGATAGTTTGCTGAATCACGATGCTGAGTTTCTATTGTATACCTATCTAGTTTTGTGTGCCTGAAAGGGTTAGGGTTAGGATCAGGCATTGTTCTGGATAGTCCAGAACCGGATCCAGAACCGTGCCTATCTGGTTCTGTGCCTAAATGGGTTAGAGTTAGGATCAGGCACGGCTCTGGATAGTCTTGAACTACAGAATCATCAAGTCAGGCACGGTTCCGGATAGACCACGCGTATCCAAAAACCGTGGCAGATCCTAACCCCAAACCATTCAGCCATAGAACTAGATAGGCACGGTTCTGGATTCAATTAAAGAGACTATCCAGAACCGCGCCTGATCCAAACCCCAACCCATTCAACCATAAAACTAGATAGGCACGGTTCTGGATACAAGTATAGAGACTATCCAGAGCCGTGCCTGATCCTAATCATTTAGGCATAGAACTATACAGGCACTAGATACAATAGTGACTATCCAGAATCGTGCCTGATCCTAACTCAAACCCATTTAGGCATAGAACTATACAGGCACCGGATACAATAGTGACTATCCAGAACCGTGCCTGATCCTAACTCAAACACATTTAGGCATAGAACTATACAGGCACTTGATACAATAGTGACTATCCAGAACCGTGCCTGATCCTAACCCCAACCCATTTAGGCATAGAACTATACAGGCACTGGATACAATAGTGACTATCCAGAACCGTGCCTGATCCTAACCCCAACCCATTTAGGCATAGAACTATACAGGCACTGGATACAATAGAGACTATCCAGAACCGTGCCTGATCCTGACCCCAACCCACTTAGGCATAGAACTATACAGGCACTGGATACAGTAGTGACTATCCAGAACCGTGCCTGATCCTGACCCCAACCCATTTAGGCATAGAACTATACAGGCACTGGATACAATAGTGACTATCCAGAACCGTGCCTGATCCTAACCCTAACCCATTCAGGCATATAGAACAAGATAGTAACGGTTCTGGATACAATACCCTACATTACATGCTCCCCACATCAAAACTACGTGGGCAGAACTCCATCAAACCGTCCTTCATTCATACGGAACATCCCGTAATAACGTCGGGACTGGCGGGAAGACCGATCACCTGTCACGTCTGCTTACGCAGGCAGGACCAGCCCAATTCCCCGGTTCTCATCACATCAATCATTCAGCATCATTACCCCGTGCCGCGGGCGATGCCTCTGTACTATTTACCGTGAATTAACGACAATGCAAGCTGCTGAATTCAAAGTGTTTTTTGTTGTTAGCGCCTTATCTGCAAAAAAATTAGCAGTAGTACTTAGTAGTAGTAAGCCCTTATCTAAAGTCGAAAGCTTCTTCGGTCATCACCATGGAATAATGTTGCGTGAATCTTTCAATTCGTGATATTTTATTTTTAACTTGAGACATATTTGTAGGCAGTTTCACACAGTCTTAGATGCGCTGAGACTATCCAGAACCGTGCCTGATCCTAACCCTAACCTACTCAGGCATAGAACTAGATAGGCACAGTTTTGGATACAATACTGTAGAACTAGACACGTACGGTTCTGGGTACAATAGAACTAAATAGGCATAGTTCGGGATGCAATACTGTAAAAGTTGATCTGGAAACATCGGGTTTTACAACTTTTAGTCGCTCAGCTAGAGGTCGCTCAGTAGTCACACAGAAGTCACTCAGTAGTTGCTCAGTGGTCGCTGAGCGCTCGCCGTCAGGTGTACCGCCGGGGTCCTTAACGCCAATTTCAGGTCGCAGAGAGAACGCCGTGAGAGCGCCACAAAGTGAACCGGGGTCCTTACCGCCGTGAGGTGTAACGCCAGGGTCCTTAACGCCACTTAGACGGCGCGCGCTCTCACGGCGCTCTCTCTGCGACCTAAAATTGGCCAGAGCGCGTAGAGAGCGCCGAGGTCGCCATGAGAGCGCGATGCCAGCGCCATGAGCGCCGTGAGAGCGCAGTAAGAGCGCCACTAAGTGTAACGGGGTCCTTAACACAATTACAGGTCGCAGAGAGAGCGCAGAGAGAGTGCAGAGAGAACGCCGTGAGAGCGCCACTAAGTGTAACGGGGTCCTTAATGCCGCCAGGTGTGATGGATGGCGAGGATGAACCTGTCGTCTCGTTATTAGATCTGTTCTCAGGAGGATTTTCCCGACTTATCCTGGAGAGGACCGGGGGTGGGCCCGTCTGCCCTAATCCTGTCACAGGCGGATCAGCGAGGATTCCAAGAAAATCATGGATCAGGTTTATCTTTTATTCTTGTTTTCTTACCTTTGTCTAAGGGAAGAGCCTAAATATGATTATGATAAATCATAGATACACAGAACATCATCGGCCTTTATGGGTATTTCATGAATTAACAAAGGCTCAAACAAACAAACAAACAAACAAACAAACAAACAAATTAACAAAGTGGCCTTGTAAGAGAAAGACACTCGTATGGTCTACATCTATGGGTATATTGTAGTGAACATCTTGATTTTGGAGTACCTTGGAAGCTTGGGTAAGGAAATATCCAAATTATTTATCTCCTGATTTAATGTTGCAATGGAAATGTAAGTTTTCAGCAGTAGATTCTGAGTCATTTTGTTTCCAAACATGTTTGACATGAAAATAAAAAGGCAATATCCCGTTTTTAATTGGGGTATAACAAAATCAAAAAGGAGTCAAAACTAGACAAGAGAGACAGGAGGTTTTTTTAACTATTTTCTTTTTTTTTTCAACTTTTCGACGTGACAGAGACATAGACAAAGGAAGGGGAATAGAAAAAGGATGTGCCAAGCTACCCACGACAGGTTACTGTCCAAGTGCTCCCACCAACCCACTCCTGCCAACTTGACACATCAAAATAAAATAATGACATAAAAGACAGACATTCCACAACAAAAGACTAATACGAGTAGTAGGGAATGGGGGGTTACAACCGCAGGCGTAGTTTTGGTTTTCCAATTTTCTACAGGACAGAACACTAAAAACGCAGACGCAGCCTGTCACCCTCGGTCTTTGCCCAGCGTACAAATCCCGAAACTATGAACATTTCCCTAACTGTACGACCCACTTATAAGTATGCGCATCTTCCTAACTATGCAAGACTAGTGTAATGTGCATGGTCGAGAAATTCATATATATATCAATTATCATAATTAGCACTCGGGCATATATTTGAAATAAACTCTATATTTAGTTGACATTAGGTTCCGCACATTATAATTATTATGGTATTACGGCTGTGGTTTTTCTTGTTTCCTCGTTGACATACATGTACATATAGCCAGGTGGCAGTTTTGAATGCTCAAACAACCATGAAGTATGTGCTACCAACGTTAGACTCGCGTATTACGTGGGTAATCAGGTATGTTATTTCCCATAGGTCAAAGTTCAACATTTCGCTGTCCGCCATCTTGGTATTTGTGCGGACGTGTATTTCATTCCATTTCAGCCAATTTTTCCAGGTTATCATCCGTTTTACACCCTTTTCTGGTAAGTACCGTTTTTCTGTAGCTTTGTATGAACCATCCATTGTTATTTTTTTGCGGTGACTTGCACATGGGGTCAGTTTATGTTTAGTATTTGTGTGACCTTTCTTGTGGGAGGGGGGCAGGTAAAATATAAAATTTCCATGCAGGTAATATTATTCTGTGTAGACTAACAGTTGGCATTACGTGTTTGTTTTATACATTTATTACATATTACAAACTTTTCTGTAGGTTAAATCTCACCGGCCGTACTTATATTAGCCGTGTACCTGGATATGATGCCCCAGAGTAGCCTCCATAGCATGCCAAAAACTGGGGATTTGGGGGGGGGGGGAGGGTCTTTGGGAGCTTTTATTTGTTATTTTCTGATTGCATATAGACAACATAGCCGGCCTGGTTAAATTACCCCCGTTATTTTAGAACCGGGCTAATCAGAAAACAGCTGAAGACCACCAAATCCCCAGTTCTATAAGCCTGCTACGGAGGCTACCCCAGAGAGGGTTTTGTCCAGTACATGTACTTATAAAATAAGTTTGAGGAGAAAATGGCCTGATACTCAGATTTTGTGGAAGAAGCTAGGAGTGAAGAGATTCTTTCTGTTTATCTTCCTACCTCCATGCTAACCTGCATTGGCATTGGCCTTATGAAGAGTCCTTTCATTTATTCATCCATTCATTTATTTTTCTACCTTTGCAGCATCAGAACAAACATGGCCACTGAGAGTGGTGGGTCTCCTACCAAAGTTCCAGAAGAAAGCCGCCACCCAAGGTCGGCAGATGACATCCCAACAGCTGACACAGAAAGCTGTCCGGAGGAATCCCAAATGATTGACAGGGCCGAAAATGCTGGTGAGAGACAATCCGTGAGCAGTGAGGGTGGGTGTGCAACCAAGTCAGCCGTCTTCAAAACAGTGAGAAACCAAAGGAAGAAAAGGTTGCACAATCGTAGCCAGAGTGGAGAGGTTGCATCTCGCCGAGTGGACCAAGCAAGCCCAAGTGGTAAGTCACCGCACATATGCACTGAGTGCGGGTATCAGACCTTCGAAAGGTATCGCCTTGTAGAACACATGAACACGCACTCGGGAGTGAAGCCATATAAGTGTGACCACTGCGACTTTCGGACCGCTTGGAAAAGGAAGCTGGCTACACACAAGGCTAGGCACACTGGGGAAAACCCCTACGTGTGCGGGGAGTGTGGCTACAGGACGGCTGACAAGTTCAGGCTGTTCAGTCACATGAAGACTCATTCGGACGAGAAGCCGTACAAGTGCGACCTGTGTGACTTCTGCACGGCGTGGAAAGCAAACTTGCTCATACACCGCACGAAACACAACGGAAAGAAGCCCTACACGTGTGAGCGGTGTGAATACAGGACGGCCGACAAGTCCACCCTCACAAAACATATGAAAAGACACTTGCTGTACTCTTGCAGTCTGTGCGACTTCTCTGCAACCGGAAAAAGAAGTTTGGATCGGCACATGCACACACACAACCCAGAGGGAAGGAAGCTCTACCGGTGTGACCAGTGTGACTTTTCGACACCTTGGAGGCCGCGTTTGCGTGCGCACAAACTCAAACACACCGGCGAGAAACCCTACATTTGCAGCCAGTGCAGCTACAGCACAGCCGAACGGTCCAACCTCACCCAGCACCTGAAAACACACAAACGAGAAAAGCCATACAAATGTGACCACTGTGACTTTACCACGGCCTGGAAGCAAAGCTTGGAAGCACACGTCACCAAACACACCGGCCTTAAACCCTACATGTGTGGGGAGTGTGGACACAAAACAGCTAAGAAATCCCACCTCTTAGACCACATGAAAATTCACACCGGGGAAAAGCCTTACAAATGTACTCACTGTGACTACCGAGCATACAGGAAGGGAAACGTGACCAAACATATGATTAAACACACTGACGAGAAGCCCTATAGTTGTGGTGAGTGCGGGTTTAGGACAGCTATTAAGGCCAGTCTCACCAGACATGCTAAAACGCATACAGATGACAAGCCTTACAAGTGTGACCAGTGTGAATATGCGGCCATTAGGAAGCTTTGTCTGATGAGACACATTAAAAAACACTTTCCGACGGAAGAGAAGCTGTACAACTGTGTTCTGTGATTTTGCAATGCTTTATTTGCAGGAGAAAAAAAACATTAAAAAACACCTTCCGACGGAAGAGAAACTGTACAACTGTGTTCTGTGACTTTTGCAGTTCTTTATTTACACCAGAAGATAGAAAAATCCATGCAAAAATCTGAGCTTCAAAATGCTCTGTATCAAAACAACAATCATTGACTATAGTAGAAATGCTTAGGTAGGACACACCAATTTAGTTTGTTGGTTCTAGGATTATTTTTCTGAAAAATACAGTATGAAACTATGATAGATCCAAATGCTATGTTAGGAGCCATGCATGAAGAGTCAACATACATGTACCAGGTTGGATGTAATTTAAAAATCAAATTAATGAAACCGCTGCATTGGTAGTTGGAAAAACTCTTACAATAAGAAAGATGAGGACTTTCTTCAACTGTTGGGGCCATTGTGAAGTTGATTCAGAACCTGAAGTATATTTTTCCATGTAAAAAATGGACAAATACGAGAACCAATTGATTAAATTGCTGTGGCCTTACATAGAACTGGTTAAATAAAATCTCCAAATATCATTTACTGATCTAATCTTAAGGATCTCCTCTACTTTTTTACCTGTAATTAAATCTGAGTATCTAACATTTCATCAGTGTGGCTCTATCCTCTACACATTTGTTCATTAATTGTACGCTCAGAACAAAAAATAGTTTTAGAAAATTTAAATTTTCAGCCTGGAAATGTTGGAATCCTCCACTAAGGCAAAGGCCATCAGAAGGCCGTTCCTGGACACACTTAGAGCAGGGAATGATGATGGTGGGTTTTGTATCATCTCACTACCTACAACACAGAGCATGTACAATGCGGGCAGCGTGGGCAGCAGGCCCTGTCCCCGACAGTCTGGGTTTCTCCTGTTTCCCCCTGCTCCTCCCCGGCTGGCGACAGACGGGTTTCTTCTGTAACTGCCAGGTCCTCTAGTTCTATTTCTTCCTGTTGCAACAGCCGGGTCGGGCTCTTGGTCGCAGGCGCTCTTCCTGACTGAGCCAACAGGGGGCGCTTTTCTACCCGTTTGCTGGACTCGTCGCCATCCGTCATGTCAGTAGCTTTCTCCTCTGCCTTTACAGCTGAATGCTTCATGTCGTCTGTCTGCGGTTTCCTGGGTGTGTCCACTTGTTTACCGGCCGGGATGGGGGCTGTTGGGGTCACGGTTTGTGTCAGACTGGGCTGTTCCAGTTGACTGCAGGACTCGCCTTCCTCTAATGTCTCAATCAAGGACCTCTGGTCCGGTTTCTCCGCTGGCGTACTGGCGGGTATGGATGCTCGGGGGGTGTGAACTGGAAAAAAACACAAGATTTGTAAATATTTCTCAATATGAAACAATATGAGGAAAGAGAGGTGATAACAATTATCAACAAAGCACGCGCATCTTGATCATGCACACTGGGTCTGTAACATGATGATGGTCACTAACCAGTGATGCCACAGGCCTGTAGGAACTTCTGGTGAGACTCTTCCCAGTACTTGGAGGCCAGCAGTTTCTCCTTGAAGGCGCGTGCTTCCTCAAACTCTGACCTGGCGTTCTTGATGACATCCTCGATTCTTTCCGCCCACTTCTCTTCATCAGTGGTTGCATCGTTTCCCTTCATCTTGACGATGCAGTGGCGGAATGTGGGCTGCTCCAGACTGTCTGATAGCTCCTCTATCAGCTCTGCAAGGCCCGAGTGCTCCGAGATGAGGACGGGAACTCCTGCCGCGATGGCCTCCAGACCGACCAGTCCGAACGGTTCGGCCCGGGACGGCATCAGGACCAGGTGACAGTTCTCCATGTCTCGGCGGATCTCCTTCTGAGTGCCGTACGGGAGAAGGGTGGGTTTGACCCGTCCGGATCTCAGCTTCTCATCCAGGATTCTCTTGCTCTCCTTGAAGTCGTTCTCATCGATGCCGCGGACTCTCAGCCTCAGTGTGTACAGATGGTCAAGCCGCAGTGCCGCCTTGTCTACGCCTCCAGCCGCCAGGTCGTGCCCTTTCAGCCTCTCCACATTCAGCACCCTGCCGATGGACAGGATCACTCTCTCTGGCTTTCGGACGTCACCCTCTTCACCGAAGCTCACATTTGCATCACTGAACACCTTTGAAGGCTCAGGTAGGAAGATGTGGTGAGCTACTTTATGCTGACGGAGGAACCTGGCGTAGTGTCGCTGAATTCGTGGTCCTACCGAGAAGACGACATCAGCCTTTCCGAGGTCGTCCTGGATGCTGGCTTCCTTTCTACCCACACCCAGGGCCTTCTCGTCACTCTTGTAGTGCTCTGTCTCCTCTGGCGCCACGTGAC